TTTCACGGCGCTGCGGAGCCGTTTTGTTCACTGCGAGTTGAACAGAGCGAGGGGGGGGGGGGAGGAAGCAGAGCAGAGGCGGTGCTTTCAAAGGAAATTAAGTAAATTTTACAAATGACCGACGCAGAGAAAACTGTTCGACCCAAGTCCTCCAAAGTGTGGGAGCACGTCACAAAGATAAAAACTGCGCAACGTGCAGCGTTGAAAAGTGACGACACGACACGGGAGAACCAGCTATGTTTACATGCGCAAAATTCTTTGATCGGATTGAAATGTATTCTGATTAAATAATCTTAATGTATCATTTACGTGGGCACAATCTGTTCACGACGAGCATTTACATGCAGCGGGCTTTTATTCTGAAAAGATGTACTGACATGCGCAGAGTGGTAAACTCCTTAAAAAAAACACAGAAGAAGAATCTAAAAAAAGTTAAATCAGGTCCTCTGGACGTTCAAAAAAAAAAAAAAGAACAAAACAAAATATTAATTGTAGAAACGTTTCGCCTTTCATCTGAAAGATTTCTTCAGAGGACCTGACAACTTTTTTAGATGTTTCTACCTGGATTATTGAGCATGCATCAGGATACACAGAAAAAGTTCTACTTCCGGGATGAACATAAACAAACCTGAACACCCAAAATGGACCCGCACCAGGTTTTAATGACGGTGGAAACGTTGCTGCACTCCCTGACCGAGCTACAAGTAATACAGATCATTTTAGCTCTTTCAAAGTTTCTAGTAGAAATGTTGTGTCGCTCACAGACTAATTTTGGTTCCCCGACATATTAGCATCTAGCCAGGCGGAAATACGTGCACATGCGCAGTCAGGTCGTTTTCCCACAGTCAGAATAAAATGATCAGCGTTTGCATGCACACCGTTTGGATTATGTATCCCCCTCTCATTCAGATTACAAAATCATTCGGATCGAGCTGAATCAGCTCTGAATATTCCGAATGGGACGTTTACATGACACTTTTTTATTCTGAATGGCCATTTAATCTGATTACTTATGTCCATGTAAACATAGCTAATGAGGCATCTACGCAACAGTAGGTCTATGGTCAGACCTGTCAGAAAAGAAACCTGTGATATCTGTGTAATCAGCAGCAGCTTCTGCGAAAGAGTTGATACATGTTCAGCAGCGATCGTGAGCAACCAACAAGATTTTAAAGGAGTACGGTAGTTCGCTTTCCTGCTGCGTCAGATATTAGCCAGGATGTCCGAAAAAAGCTGCGGTGTTAGAATAACCAAGGAGGACAAACGATCAGCTGCGTGCTCCAACTCCAACGAGCGAAACGCACATTATAGAGCAAAAAACTGCTGCAGCAAAGCCGTTCTGATCAGTCAGGTTTGTACACACACAAAATGACTATGATGCAGTCAGAGATAAAACCAGAGAAGAGGAAAGTTTGGACAGCGCTATAACTGATGACAATGATAATAAAACAGGTGTTTTTAATTCTTCTAATCAGAAACCATATAAACGTAGAGTGCCACAGGGTGAGCAGATCCGAACCAGCACATACTGGGACTAAAATCCTGCTTGTGTTGAATAACATGAGACACACACAACTGAACGACAATCTAAAATATCGATGTAACATTTAAGTACAATAATTGAATACTCATCAGAAAACACAGGATAATCTGTCAACCTGAGAAACAGTTACACCTTTATAATAAATTGATTTGGATTATAGTTAAGTATTAGTGTTATGAATGATTGTATAATTTATTTCAAATTGAATAATGTATTCTTAATGCGATATAACTTACAGATTATATAGTTTTATCATCTCCTAACCACAACGGTGCACACCATGCGTTTCTTACTTACGTTTATTCCACCATTCACCAGTTCAAGATCTTTACTTCTTTAATTCACCTCTTTGGAATTATTTGCAAAGTGTTTGGTTTTCTTTAAGAAAACGCTCAAAAATTTTGAGCAGCACAAAACAAATTATAGTTGATGCCACCACGAAGGTCTAACTCTACATAACTGTAATAAACATTCTCAGATCTGAGGTTCTCTTGAGGTTTTTGTCGTTTTTAAACATATTATCTGAAGTTCAGTGTAAACAAGTAAAAGTAAAATGTCTAAAAAACATAAACACACACACAAAAAGACTAGTGGCTGCTGTTCTTTAAAGCGAAATAATCTGTTCAGCTAAAATAATTTATTTCAGTTGCAAAACCACATTACTTATTTATAATCTATAAATACGTATTTATTAAGAAAACCCAAAGCATAGTTTTCTACTGTTCTAATTCTTTAGAAACAAACAAGAACAGACATTTTTAGGTTAAAAGAAAACAGACGGACAAATCCTACATGCCTCAAACATTTACATCAGCAGGGGGCGCTGATGAGCATTCAGCCTCATTTCCTAACAGAGCAAGCCGGGCGTTCGGTCAGTGCTTCACACAAACATATAAACTTTATCTGGCCATCGGAAGTAGCAACAAAAGCTCAGTAAACAAAAGCTGATAGCAGCGCAACAAACCCGTTTCCTTTGCAGGTGGACTGAGCTGGTGTCGCGGGCCTTCTTCAGCCAGATCTTTGGATCGAGAATCTTGGGACAAAGCTAGCATGATAGCTTTCTCAACTTGTCCGAGGATGTCCTCGGCTGCTGCGCACATCCGCTGGTGGACAAACAACCTCAGCTGAAACATGGTTGACTCTTGTCTCAGGAAACAGCTAAATTAAACTATTACATCTAAACATAGAAGAAGGCAACTAGCTAAGCCTTTGTGTGGGAATTTACAAAAAGCGTGTTCCGGTAAAGCCACGCCCCTTTTCCGGTATTAGTCGTTCAAAATAAAAGCACCCTACAAGGCAAACCGGTCACGTTAAGAAACGAAGTAAACAAACTACTGAAACATTAAATTAACATTTAGTACACAACAGGTCAACATTTCCACTAGAAATGATTGAATATATAATAAAAAGAAATCAGTTTTAAATATGTTGTGGCAAAATTAATTATACAGCCGGTTTAAAATCTGAACTCCTAAAACATGACATTATTATTATTATTTTTTGCCAAAGAATTTGTAACAGGTGTAGGCTTTTAGCACCAATTTTAGATGTAGATGTGATATTTTCTTTACTAAATACCTTCAAAACGTATTATTAATGCAACTTTGAAAATCCGAAGTCTAGTTAAAAAGCCTAAAATTTTACTCACAGATATAAATATAACTGACAACGACTCAAACGATAAAGTAAAAGGCACCAACAATGGCATGTGAAATTTGTTATAGAGTTGCCTCATAAAACTATCCCCATTATGAACTTTGAAAAATTTCATGATAATAGTAACTTCTGAAAACAAAAGACAAGAGGGGTTAACACAAATTTATTGAGGCACAGATTATAAACAAAATACTTCTCTAAAATTAGATTAAAGCAAGATATATGGGTGTGTGCACCCAATTTTGGTGGATGGATAAAGACAAACAAAGTCATTAACTACTTGTTTTTTGTTGTTTTCTTTTTTTACATTAGAATTCATTTCATTTTAATATTACATAGGTATGAAACTAGGTGCATACAGTCCTAAACAATATATTTTTAGCATTTTCCAGAATTATTATGTGCATCAACGTTCATGCTCAATAATCCAGGTAATAAATCCAACACAGTTAAGTCAGGTCCTCTGGACTGTTTCTTTGTGTTGAAACATTTTGTCTTTCATCAAACCAGCTTGACTATCAAACTGGTTTTCTTTCTTTCAAGCTTTGTTTATATAGGTTAATCCCTTTGAGTCTCGGGGACTCATTTACAAGAGAGACCTGATTTTAACAAAGAGTGATGACAATAGTAGACAATCATTAAAAAAAAGCATACAAATTGAGAAAAACAAATAAAAAGAAAGTGGTTTTAAAAAACTGAAACAAAAACAGCTAGGTTGTAAAGCGCTGTAGAAAACTAAAAACAGGAATATCTCCATTGGTTTTGCCAGGAACTTAACAGATGTTTGAAGTCACTTAGAGAGGTCAAGGTCGAGAGCTTCAGGTCTTTTTACAAGATATTCCAGGAAACAGGAGCGGAGTAGGAGAAGGCCCTTTTGCCTAGTTCAGCCCTCATTGAGGGAACACTGCAGGTAATAACGTCCTGAGAGCGCACGCTGTAGCTGCACTCACGCAGAGACATGTAGGAGGAGATGTATGAAGGCAGCAGACCAAGAAGTGATTGAAAGATGAAAATATACCAGTGAGAGAGTCTGCGTGAAGTTAATGATGTCCAGTTAACCAGTGAATACAGGGTGCAGTGGTGGGTACAGTAGTTACAGCCAGTTATGAATCTTAGTGCAGCATGATAGACAGCATCCAACATCTGCAGGGTGCTTGTAGGAGCGTTCATGTAAATAATGTCACCGTAATCAATGGAGGGAAGGAAAGTCGCAGTCACAAGGCGTTTTCTAGCATTCAGAGTTAGACAGGATCTGTTTCTGATAAAAGAATCCCAATTTAGCGTTCAGTTTCCTTACCAAGTTTTCCACTGGAGCTTAAAAGAGAATCAACCAAGATACCCAAATATTTGTAGGAATTGACAAACTCAATAGGAACACCATGCAAGGATAAAATCGAAGGGAGAACTGCTGGGACCGATCCTGTTTGAAAACAAATTCCTTTGGTTTTGTCGGCATTTAGGACAAGTTTGAGACGGAACAAATCTGACTGGATGATGTGAAAAGCGGATTGCAAAAGCTGGAAAAGCTTAGCAACTGTTTAAGCTCGACAATAAACAACTGTGTCATCAGCGTAGAAATGTAAGGATGCATCAGGGACGGTTTGACCAGAATGTGAAGAGTGCGCAACTTAAAAGACCAAGTTTGTTGTGGCTCCTCAGACTGAAGAAGTCCTTTGGATGAAAGATGAAATGTGCCAACACAAAGAAAGCTTCTGAAGGACCTGCCTTTACCTTGTTGGTATTATGTGTAAGCAATTGATAATTTATGCTTTTGGTTTTATTTTGAAGGTCGGCTCAAACCGGAAGTTATGCACTCTGTTTCTGCGCGGCTCAGTTGCAGCAGATAAACCTGCAGCGATGTCGTTTTGCTCTTTCTTCGGCGGGGAGGCCTATAAAGACCATTTTAAACCAGGTAACTTCGTAACATTTACATTTAGCGACGATTTTAAAGTTCTTTCACGTTGGTGCTATTTGTTTAGTAAAAGTTTGAGCCAAAGGTGTATTTTTTTTTTTAGTTTGAGCTAAAGGTGTTTAGCCACCGTTTGCTAAACGCTTGATAACGATAAACCGACAAACACGTGACCATGTTGGGTCTAAAATCTTTAACATACATAACGATGTCAGTGATGGACTTTGTTGGCTTCTAAACTTTTGTAACCAGTCAGCAGGTTACATAATAACTATCACTGGATTGACTCACACCAAATGGAGTCGTTGGGCTGTCATTTACAGAAATATGTTGCCATAAGTAGTTACACAAACTCTCCATGTTTATTTGCTAACTTCCATTTGATGGACATTACCCAAGTTAAACCACGTATTCATGGTCTTTGGATTAAATGCTCCGCACACTGTCATTTTCACTTGTCCATATTTTTGTACTTAATAAAATCTACATATAGTGCATAATGTTGTAGATAAATTAGAGTAGTGCAGTATTTTTCGGCCTATAAGTCGCAGTTTTTTTTGCATAATTTACATGTTCTGCGACTTATAGGCCAAAGCAACATATTTATGGATTATTCCCCAAATTTATAAACCAAATTTTTGGCTGAAATATGACAATTTTCATTCATTGTGAAAAAAAAAAAAGTATTTTTTAACAGTATAATTTTCAGCCACTAGATGGCAGCAGAGTAGTAGTAGCTTTAAGGCATGCCGTTGTATCATATAATGGGTAAATGTGGCTATAATGACAAAAAAGTTCAAGACAAAAACAACTGGACTTTATTTATTATACTTTATACTTTGTTGTTTTTTTCTTGAACTTTTTTGAATTGACCATGTCCTGGATGAGTGAGAATCGTCACCAGCTATTAATGATACAATCTGCTTGCCACAGTCCCCCCCACCTTCATTCTGCTTGCTGCTTGGAGCAAGTTAAACCAGCTGCACCACCCCGGCAAAATGCAGCTAATTTGACTATTAAAGTGCATTAATTAAGCAAACGTTAGACTGAGACACACCTATGCTATAATTTTGAGCAAACGAATAATGTTTTAGGTGCTTTTCTTGTTAAATTTTGAAGAAACGAGCAGCGTTCCTCCTTATTTTTATACTCTCTCTCTGCGCGCTCCTGGAGCACTGAGGCAGCAAAACTGTTTTTGAAATTCAGCTGATTTGACCATTAAAGTGCATTTTTTTTAAGAAATTGCTCAACCTTTTCTATAAAGTCGAGCAAACACATAATAGTTTTTAGGTGTTTAGCTCGTTAAATCTGCACAGCGATTCGTTGCGTGCACGCGTTTACTTCCACGCATCAGCTTTTGAAATACAGCTGATTTGACTGTCAACGTGCATTTACTGAGCAACCCACATTTCCGGGTTCGCCCCAAATTTCCGGGTTGTCAGCGGTGATGCATAATAGATGCGATATATACGGCGAAACAACATATTTATGGATTTTTCCTCTTTATTAGATATATTTGGACTGATGCAACTTATAGGGCGGTGTACGGTGGAAAATACTGGTATATGGAGTGACAGTACAAATAAATATACACACATGCATGATGATGCTCCACACCTGTATTGGCTCTGTGATGCTTTTTTTTTTTTTTTAATACATTTGAACTGAAAAGAAAAGCTTGTTAACTAAGATTTAATCTTCTGTAAAACAAAACAAAAACGTGTGTAAGAGTTCATGTATTCATTGTCAATGGCATTAAAAAATGACATTAAATTGGTATTAAAATGCTTTAAATTTGATCCGCTGATTTCTGCAGAAACCCTGAAACGTTTGTTTACAATAAGTGTTTTGATACTGTGAGGTCATTCTGGTTCAAATTTGCTTTAACAAATGATCTACAACCACTGTTTTACCCTTCAGGGATCTATGTGTGTTCTAAGTGTGGACACCAGCTGTTCTCCAGCTGCTCCAAATATGAGCATTCCTCTCCCTGGCCGGCGTTCACAGAGACCATCCTCGAGGACAGTGTGTCCAAACATAAGGAGAGCCGACCTGGGGCATACAAGGTAATGTCAGCGGAACGGTGTTTCGGTTGTCTGTATACTAAAATCTGCATAAATGTCATGTTAGTCCTTATTATTCTGTCCAAACACAAGTCTGTACCCACCAGGGGTGAAGGAATCACCATGAAAATGAAAAACGAGGCTTTTTTTCTTCAAATGGTGCAACAAATCTCACACGACACAAAGGCTGTGAGAGTGGAGCTCCTGAAACACAAAGACGTCAGATTCAGACACAACATGGGACACAATCTGCAGCCCACAAACACGTTCTTATACAGCAGGGGATGTGTAATCATATAACAGTTATAAATACCATGTACTGTCAATATGATTAAAACTAAATCAACGGATATAGTGCCCAGCGCCACTCCTTGGACAACAGGGCCACCCATCAACTTGTTTCCATTTAACTGTAGAGTTCTGCAAATCAACATACTTTCACACATAAGTTCATCTAAAGAGCAGAGTTGGTCATCTACGGCAACGTCCAGGATTTTTCCATCACCTGCACAGTTTGGTTAAACAGTTTCGTCTCCTGCGACTCGGTAAACAGTTAAACTAAACCTGCTTCTGTTGAGTTGTTTTTCAGATTTTCAGATGTATCGTGTTGTTTCAGGTGCGCTGTGGAAAGTGTGGAAACGGACTGGGTCACGAGTTTGTGAATGATGGGCCAGCCAAAGGTCTGTCCCGCTTCTGAATATTCAGCAGCTCACTGAAGTTCGTCCCTAAAGGTATAATCTACATATAAACAAAAACAAGGCTGCAATCATTTGCTTTGCTACATTTTACTTTCCAGTGTCAAAAACTATATTCCGTTTTTTTTTTTTCTGTCCCATCCACAGATAAGGTTGACGGACAGTAAGGTGAGCTGACGACAGAAGGGATCAGACGTGTCTCTTTGCTGCTGAAGTGTGGACAGCGTATGATGGATTCTGGGACAAAGTCCTTTCAGGGAACTCCAGGACTCTGATGAATAATGACCTCACTGGACAGCAAGAGAACAATTGTACTATGCAGCAACAAGACGCACAAATCACACCCTCCCTGCCTCATTGCTTTTACACTGATCAACACTGCAACAAAGGAATTTAAAAAAAGACAGATTCGTTTAAGTTTGTGGGTTACTTTAGATTAAATTGTGTCTCTACTTTTTATTAGCCTTTCAGAGAGAAAAAGCTCGTAAAGGTACATCCAAGAATTGAAATACTTTTTTAAATGCTGGTGAAAGAAGAAAAGCACTTTTAAAAATGTATATTTTAAAGCACGATTGTAACATATCATTATAAAACAAGCTCTTCAGTTTATTCTTAAAGAAGTCAAATAAATATATTTTAACTTAAACTCATTGTATGTTTATTTTTATTACTACACAGAAGTCTATAGTTTTTAATGCAAATGAAATAAATGCCCAGCATTCCTTGAAGGGATCCATATTGCAATATTTCAAAATGACACACACTGGGAAAGACCCAGGCTCTCCAGTGGTTAATAAGATATTTTGCTAACAAACGCAAGCAAAACTTTACCTTTGACAGGGTGCTCATATTAAAGTACTGGCATTACTGGGAGTTTTATAAATGTTGCCACTAGGTGACAGCAGTTATTAAAGATCAGCTGCTGACATGTTGGCTGCTTCCAGTTTGAGCTGTAAACATTTATGAACTAAAAACTAGTTCTGGGTGGAAGTCACTGACACATCTGACGGGGATGAAATGCCATATTGGTCTTTCTGTGGGGCAGAAGTTTATAAAACAAGAGAGGCTGCATGTGATGGAGCAACACTTGGGTGAAGTCAGATGTGTCTTCTTGTCCTCAGGTCTGTGTGTGTGTTCTAAATGTGGCCACGAGTTGCTTTCCAGCACTTCAAAGTTCAAGCACTCTTCACCTTGGACTTAGTTCACTGAGACGGTCCATGTGGACAGCATCTAAACACCCTGAGGCATGAGGACCCACCTTCCCAGGAGCATCTCTGTCAGGATGTTTGCTTTAACAAACTGATATGTGTGTGTTTTTTAGTGCTCTGGTATTTCACACCTACAGCTTGTGGAAAGTGTGGGAACGGATTGGGCCACAAGTTCTTAGATGATGGACCAAAGGACAGGCAGTCATGGTTCTGAATCTCCAGCAGCTCACTGATGTTCATCCCTAAAAGTGATTCAGTCTTTTGGTTTCGTTGTTCACATATAAAGCAGTAAGTCCTTTGAAATGCACTGCATTCACTTTCTTCTCACAGCAGACAGCAGAGGACTGAAAAACGACTTCTGAAAGAGAAAACGGTTCCTATAGTGGCCATGTGGATGACGTGCGCCAGGACAAAGCCTAGGGCACTGAAAAATAATGTGAAACTAGGACAAAGAGCAGGTCTGAGGAGCTTTTGAAACGAACATTAAGTAAAAGATGAAACAAACAAAAATAAAGAAAAAAAAACAAGTCCAAATCATAAATCCAATTCATTTCCAGATTCAAATTCAGTCAGTCAGTTCATTGGATTATAAAACAAATCACAAGCATATGAAATGCCAGTTAGTAAACAAGTGACATTTATGGAAGCCAGCAGGTTGCTGCGAATCTTCAGTGCAACACGCCATCCTGAGGGGGATGGAGGTGACGGTGGAAAGGAATGACTCCTTTTTAACCGCAAGAAACCTTCAGCAGAACCAGGCTCAGGATGGACGGTGGTCTGCTTCAGCCGGCTGAGGTTTGACAGGAAGGAGATGGAGACAAACACAGACGGGTTGGTCCAGGTGTGGTTTCTATAGAAAGAAAAACAAGTCGTGACATCAAACACTGACGAGCGAGTAAAGACGGCAGCAGAGCGAGGACATGCGGTCAGTTTGTCTTCCAGCAGTCTAAGCCTGTAGCAGCATAACTAAGGGATAGCTCAGGTAACCCGAGCCGACTCAAACTATAGGATTTATCAAAAAATAAAGATTTAAACCTAATCTTAAAAGTAGACAGGGTATCAGCCTCACGGACAGAAACTGGAAGTTGGTTCAAGAGAGGAGCCTGATAACAAAGAGCTGCCCCCATTCTACTTATAGAAACTCTAGGAACTGCAAGTAAACCTATAATGTAAAGTGCTCTCTTTGGTAAATATAAGATCTTTAAGTAGAGCTAAGACCGAAGCGAGCTGCTGTTGTCTTCAAACAACAGTTTCATTTAAGTTCACCCAAAGACTACTTTAAAAACGTTCACGGTTAGTGGAGGTGGGATTTCTGGCTCTTTGTTTCAAAGACCACACAGTAGTGCTATGACTCATTTGCTAAGAGTTTTAGTTTTATGTTCTCATTTACTTCGCCAAATGGGGAGTGAACAATTAATATCTGAACACAGCTGAACATTTGAATTGCACATGCAAATATTTGAGTGGGTATTTGTATTTAGTAATGCTAACAGTGTCAAAACACTGAGAATAATGTAGAATAAGGTAATTAGGTACGAAGGCACCTAAGGTTTATTAGTTCATGAGTCATAGATTCAAAACTGTTAACTTAAAAAAGTATTTTCTGTTTATCAGTCCTTCTTTTTTTCAGATTATTTGTTTAAATCACTTTCTAAAGCACAAAAAAGGGTTAAATCATATCATCTGGACAAGTTTCATTTTGGGGAGAAATGTTTTGTCTTTCATTCGAAAGACTTCATGAGTCTGAGGCCTGCCAACCCAGATCTGCCTTATAAATAGCACCTCCTTGATGTGGGTCAAGCCAGCCCTCCAGAAGATTTAACCCTTTTTTTGTGATTTATCTACCTGGATGATTGAGCTGTCAAACCTTTTATTTATTTATTTATTCCACTTTCTAACACATGAGGGATCACTGTGTTAAGCAGCATATCTCCATTGCGTTGTGCTATTTATCCCACCCGCTTTGAATGTTATCAGTTCATTAAATGGCCGTTATTAGTTGTAATCATCCCCATGGTTTGCTTTCAGACTATACCCCCTAGTAGGTTAAAAGGAACGTTCTTATCGCTGATAATAGGGTCAGGGTGTTAGATTAAGGGTCAAGGGTCTAGACTCTAGGGATTAGGTATGGGGTCATTGCTCTGGGTCAGGCGTAAGGTTGGGTTTAAGAAAAGGTTTAAATAAAGCTAACAAAAAATAACTTCAGATTTTAGACATGGGCGAAGCTGCAAATTACAAGCGATAAGAACATACCTTTAAACCTACTAGGAGGTACAGGAGGGACAGTCTGAAGGCAAGCTATGGGGATGATAACTGATAACGGCCATTTAATGGGCTGATAACATTCAAATCTGTTGGTTTATTTTCTTTCTCTAGTTTTAAGTATAATTAAAGTGGAAAGCACCAGTTTAAACTCACAAATTACATATATATATATATATATATATATATATATATATATATATATATTTTTTTTTCCTTATAGCCAGATTCTCAATTCACCTGCCATCCCTGTTTCTCTATCTCGGTCGACGAGGTGTTGGAATGTTTAAACAAAGTGGGGGGCGTGGGGGCACGCTCTGTGGCTTTCGTGCAGTTTAACGTGTCCTGGATGAGCAGGTGTGGAGCTCCTTTCAAAGGCTGCAAGATCAGAGTGAGAGATGAAAGCTTCAGTTTCAGACACAGGATTAGGAGAGGAAGTGCAAACATTGAGAGGGAGCGATGCTTAAATGTGTTCAAAGTAAATGCAGTTTTACACATTTGCTGTGATGATTTTGTCTGCGAGGGGTGATCAAAACTTAGGAGGGAGCAGCTGGGGAGACTTGTGTTTAAAAAGTACCACAGCCTTTATTTCCAGGTTTTTTTTGTCTTTTTTCTCCAGTGATGCTCATCTTTTGCATCAAGCTCAGCCTCACAGAGCCAAATGCCACAAACTATCAGTTTCATCCCCGCTGTTGCCTCTGACCTCACCCCAAACTCTCCATTAATTAACCAATAACTTCCATGTGCCTGATTAGACAGCCACGTAATGTGGTCAGCTGGAACGTGGACTTTTTCTGTGGTGAGCCTGAGAGTGGGAAAGTTTGAGAGTGGAAGGGTATCATCCTCACAGCAAGACTAAAGAAGAAGAAAAGATAAACCAGATGTGAGAATGGAGGAAAATGAAGCTGCTGAAAAGGCAGGGCTGTAATTAGCATTTCTATAAGAGCTAGTCTTTCTGGATGGCATCAGAGCACAGCTGTATGGCCAAGAGGAAGCAAACAGGAAGGAGGAAGTGGTAGTCCTCTGATAGAATCACTCTTCCCCCTGACCTCTGGGGCTCATCCTGCTCATAAGCAAATAAGATCCTTAATTACATCAAACCACAGCTTCTCCAAAGTCCTTCCCTGGCTCCAAAGGCAGAGCCTCGGGGCTTAACCGAACTGTCTGCCAGTGACTCACTCCCTGGACATCTTGTTTTAATCGGACCATATTTAAGCTCGTTGCTTAGATTTGGATGTTTACAGGAACTACACCTGCCCCTGTTTCAGAAAATAGGGTCTCATTGTGCGTCTACACGCCACGTCGTTATTACCGAGTTCATTCATTAAAGTTTCATTCCCAAGAAACATCTGTCCCCCAGCAGTTCGCCTCACCGCAGGAGCTGTGATCGTTTTGTTAGAGGAATAAAGCTCCTAAAGCGAAACGGTAACAAAAATACTGACGTTTCCTTTCATCAGAGACTAATATCTGCAATATGGGTTATAGGATGTGTCTATTCAAGATGGGGGTGGCTGCCCTCCACATGTTTCAGATGTACTGTACATGTGCTGCCCAAACGTCTCCATGTAAAACTTTAAAGCTTTTATAAATTACACCGGAACAGGATTTCCGTTCGGCATCAAAGGCAGCGTTCTGGAAAGTCAAGAGTCTCCTGGTTGGACGTCGTTGTAATCCTGTCAAGACAAGAATGCGAACAGTTCTGCTCATCTCTTCTCAAATGTGCAGTTTGGTGAGCGCGTGAAGAGCTTTTATGTGGTGTGGGTATGTGTAGTGCGTATAATCATGCACCTACAGAAGCTTGAAGTTCAACAAACATGACAACCGAACCAACAACGTACAAAAAGTAAATCAAAACTTTAGGAAACTTTGAACATGCTTCAAACTTTATGACAAACTGAAATAATTAAAAGACGTGTTCATGCAACACGAGGCTTGCTTTTTAATAATCTTATCATATTAAAACCTAAAATGAAAAAATTAAAAGATTTTGAACGTGCTTTTCCACTAGAACTTCTGTTAGTGCTCAGATTATGTGTTGGGGATGACTCTCAGCTACTACTATACTGTATTGTAGCTTAACATCTGTAAAACTATGTTATAGTCATGATCTGTGTGGTTGAGTTCCTGAAAATCTCCTTGCTGAGGTTTCCATCTCTCTCCACGTGCACCAAACAGT